TCGTCTCCCTCAAGGAGTTTTCCGGCAGCCACCATCTTCATCCCTTCTCTCCCTCGACCACCCAGCAACGAACCAGTGGCGTAGCAGCTTCGGGGACCTCCGCCATCACCTTCTCGTCCTCGGCTTCTTTAGTTTGACGACCTGCAGCAGGCGACGACGGCAACACCCATCAGCAGCGACGCTCCACTCCGGTGACATTTCCTAACTCTCGTCGTCTCTCGTTTTCCTTGGGCGTAGGTGGTAGATCCGGCGAGCAGAAGGCAGAAAAACGACAGGTCGGGCGTCTTCCGATCCAGTTCGAGCTTTTCCCGGCGGCGAACTCCGGCCTTGCTTCGGAGAAGTGGCAGAAATGGCGGCAGTTCCGGCGTGGTGTTCCTCTGACGGCGTGGGGTTCGGTAGTAACGAAGGTGAGGCATTGTTTTACTGTTTTTGAATCAAGAGATCCGATGTGTGCCTTGCCTGTAATTGGAAGGATTTTATGAAATTGAGCCCTATTTCTTATCAAACTAAACAACATATCAGAGTCCCATGTTTCTTCTCTGCAACTTTCTTTCCATTCCATCTTTGATTCAAGAAGAGGCCTTGGGAGCAGCAGACCGCTGCTTCTTCGAACCATCTTGCTTCTTGTCAGAATCTGCAGCCTTTCTCCGGTCCTTCCTCTTTCTCTCTTCTTCAACGCAGTCATCTGAGCCTTCAACAAAATTGCGTAAGAAGCTTGAAAACGTTGGTGATGTTTCGGCCCCACCATTGTAGAAATGTTCTTTTTCCATCAGTTGCTCGAATAAGAAACTTATATTCAATTTTTTCACCAGCACTCTTCAATTTATTACGCGTGGCTTTAGATTTCATTGAGGAATGGGTCTGGCTGTAAACGTATCATCACTGTAGCATCTAACAGAGCATCACTGTAGAAAAGACAAAATTACCCTTTTCAAACGGAGCATCTAACAGGAAGATTGACAGAGGACCAAAATTGTCCTCGTCACAATAAGAGTGTCCATAAATTGTCTAATTTTTTTAAGGAGGACTAAAATTGTCCGTACCACTATAAGTCTAGGACCAAAAATGTCTTTTACTATATATATATATATATATATATATATATATATATATATATATATATATATATATATATATATATATATATATATATATATATATATATATATATATATATATATATATAGTAAAAGACATTTTTGGTCCTAGACTTATAGTGATACGGACAACTTTAATTTGAGTAGCTTATTGATGTCAAGCTTATTATTTTAAAAGTCTAATTTATCATTAATAGTGGTTGGTTATTGTGGTGTTTATATTTATTCAATTTTTATTTAAATTTACACGGCTGGAAATCAAGGAATTTCCGACCACCTGAAAATGATCTTAAATCAAGTCGGAAAAATCTTCGTCGCTATTTCCTCCGGTGACCGGAAATAGCATCCAATTTTGTAAAGTGATCGAAAAAATCGGTTGCTAGAAAGATTAACAGAAATTCCCAACTCAATTTAAAAAATTTAAAGTGCCAAATTTAATTTTTGACCACCTTTACTTTGTGGTCGGTATTTTCAAACACTAAGTGAAGTTAGTCGGAAATTCCGACCTATTTCCCACCATAATTCTTCGACGAAAAATTTAAAAAATATTGATCATTTTTTCGACCATTTTTAGGTGGTCGAAAAACCAAATATTTCAACAGTGTTATATTTTAATATCATCAGAACCGCCTAGAGTCCGGCATCTGAATTGAAACATACACATATACAATTGTGTTAAACATTCTGTTGAATTACTATTAACAATTTATTTTTATTTTATTTTAATTTTAAATTATATTTTTAATATTGAATTATTATTAACTATGAAGTATTTCTTTATAATTATAACAATATTAATAATAAAATAAAAATAATATTTAAAATAATTAATAGTAACTCAACTATAACAATAAATTATTAAAATACTTTAAGAGTTAAGTAAATAAAATAATATACTTATGTCCGGCGTCAATATATCTGAGGGGGCCTTGGCCACGGAGGAAGGAGACTATTTGGGTACGCCAGAATAGGAAGTTCTTCGTGGTGAGTTTGATGGAGACGAAGTGGTGGGCTGAGGTGAGGGAATTGGTGTTCACGGGAACGGTGGTGGTGGTTACTGTACGCTCGGAAGAATTTGTCGACATCGGACAATTTTCGGGAAAAGATTAACAAGAAACAACCTATCGCTAATTGATACCAGATGAGATGATAGAATTCAAAATCTGATTAGTTACATAGAGATTACAATGATGAGTCCTATAAGAAAGCTACCACCTAACTCTCCTAAACTATAGACTAGAATACTTAATTTATAACCACAAATATAAACTATATGTTATAATGGAATTATATTATTACTAACACTTATATATACGTTATTTTATTATATGTATCGACTAAAAGTAAAGAACTAATTTACTAAAACACCTTTCTATAACTTGTTAATATTATCAATTAATAAAATTAGCTAACACAATCAATTATCAGCTACCAACTAAATCAATATATTATCAGTTACAAGTTACAATTAATTGCCATATATCCCCAACCTTTTCTGCAGCTTGGCAATGCTCATGATCTCTTAGTACGTTTTAGATGAATTATCCTTTTTGGTCAGATGCTGTTGATTTTATTGCATGGAATAATTGAAACATAAAAATAATTTTTATTTATTGGTGATGAGTGAAAATGGTAACATAGAACAATCCACTAAAGAACATTCATGAGTATATTTGGATGGATTGATAACGTCGATAATAAAATATTAAAAACATACTGTAATTGACAAAAAAACAAAAACAAACAAAAAAAAAAAGATTATAATATATTATACAGATCTAAATTTTGTTAAAACATAAATAACATAGGAAAGAGGGAGTGGGAGGTGGCTATCAGCCAATTCCAACCCAATTAGGCACAATCAAAGTTTTAGGCGGTAACAGATTCAATTTGATTGAGTTACATTTTTTTAAAAGACAAATTAAGTTACGTTATTCTCACTTAGATTGGTCCTAAATGACGTATAAATTATGTATTTTTAGTATTAGAATTGTGAACTTTTAGAATATAAATTGTTTCTAAATCAAAACACATAACAACTATAGAATGGAATTTGTGAATACAATATAGGGTCATCAAATCATAATATGTTATTATTGTGTGACTGTCGTATTTAAAATGAACTTGTGAATACAAAACAAGGTAATCAATGACATATATGTTAACATTGTGTGTTCGAAGTATTCAAATTGTGAATTTTTCAAAGGTAAATTGCAAGGTTGCAAAAAACGTTAGGCGCCCCCTAGGCGCTGAGGGGGGTGCCTAGGCGCCGATTTTTTTAATTTTTAATTTTAATTTTTTTTTAATTTTTAATTTTTAATTTTTTAAAAAATAAAAAAATAATAAAATTTAAACTAAAAATTTTAAAATTCAATAGTAAAACATAAGGTTCTTCTAGTTTTTTCTTACAAATTATTTACGTAAGTGGTTGTAAAATCGTTTTGAATATTGTTGAAACCATCTAAATACATAAAAAAAAAATTAAAATTAAAATTAAGAGCAAAAGAAACATTTTTTGGAGAAATTAGAGGGTCAAACCGCCTTTGGTGTTTGCGGTGTATAAATCTCGAAAAAATACGCAATTTGAAAACAAAAATTGTCCAAAATGGACAACCGAGTCAAAAGTTATGCCTTGCCAAACACTACTGGAAATTATGAAATTTCCGACCACCTGAAAGTGATCTTAAATCAAGTCAAAAGTCTTGTTCCGACCACTTTTGGTGTCCGGAAAAATCTTTGTTGCTATTTCCGACCACTTTTTGGTATCAACTTGATTTAAGATCATTTTCAGGTGGTCGGAAATTCCATAATTTCCACTAGTGAAAGTTTCTACACTTTTCAACAAAAAAAAAATAATAATAAAAATAAAAATCGGCCGGTTCATCCGGCTAGGCGGCTGAATCGTCCGCGGCCGGGCGGCGCCTAGGCGCGATTTTTGCAACACTGATAAATTGTAAATATGTAAATTGTGAACATTTGGACTCAGGTCTACCCCCACATAATAATTTGCGAGACACGGGACGGTGGGCCTTGACTTAGTCTCTCATCCCACCACGTTTTTAGGAATATTGTTGGGCTTTATTTGTATCCTAGTTTCTTTTACGTGCGTTGCGCAAATGAGATAATGTCCAATGATTATTTTAAATCAGTACTTCAAAGTATATATAGGAGATGTTCATGCATAGGTAATTGAATGTTGAATTTGTTTATTTAAATCGGTAATTCAAAGCATATAAATGCAAGATAATATATGAGAGATTGATTATAATTGTCACTAAAATAAATATTTAGAGCTTTGTAATAACGCTAGCCTAAATACTTAGTCTAAAAGCGATAGTCTAAATAATTTTTTTTTTTTAAATGCAAGAAAATGATTTTTAAAGTTTCTAATTTATAATCTTAATTTGATGTTCAACTTTGAATGCTATGTATTTAGTCGGATTATTTGATCAAAGTTTATGTTAAATTTTATATTGTATTTTTTTAATACATTTTAATATATTCATAGTATATGTTTTACAATTATGCTAACTTGATTGTGATTGGATTCGAACCTAAAACCTTTCTTATAGAAATTAATAAGTAAGTTAAGAATAATAAATAGTTAACGGAATACAGGGTTATTTAAGGGAAGAAAATAATATAATAGATGGTAAATAAGAAAAATCATAACAAAAAAATACTAAAATCAAAATAATATGAACCATTCATTTCAAGAAACAATTACACTAACATTTTTTTTGTTCCTTTAAAGGCATAATCATGTTCAAAAATCAATTTCATTACCCAACATCTTTGCAACACTCTAGCATTAATTCAAGGAATATTACTATAATCTAGACTTATTAATTCGGACCACCAGAATTAATTAATAATTTGAAACACCCGAATTAATTAATTCCATCAAGGATGATTGTTGATGCTTTTGCAGTGAGCAATTGCTGCCTCAATGGGACCATCAATGTCTGAAGTGAAACTGCAGCTTCTCTTGTGGAAGTTGAGCTCATGAAAATCCCTTGAACTGAAAGAAATGGATGAGAAGGAGGAGGAGGAGGAGGAGAAAGAGGAAGATAAAGAGGAAGAGGAACGCCATTTGAATTCTGCAGATGAGAATGATGAGAGTGGCCTTCTGTGATAACTCCTCTTCATTATCACCACTTTATCCTTAATCCCCTCCCTGTTAATTGAATACCCAAATAGGGTTTTCTTTTGTTCTGCTTTCAAGTGTTTATCAGTCACAGAAGAAACATCTATACAGGCAGACTTTCTGAAAAATGATCTGAGACTAAAAACTCTTGAAGCCTTTCCCCTGTTACCCATCAACGACTTCTTAAACAGTCTGAGCTTACTAAGCCAAGAATGTTTCTTCTCTTGATCTTTATTAATGGAAGTGCTCAAACAAGTGGACCTTTTAAAGTGGTCAGCAGGGATGAGTGAAAAGCTCAGTCTGCATGGCTCTATTGCTGGTGTTGAGCTTGCAAATTCCATAATGATGAACTCATCATCATCTTCTTCCTCAACAATGGAGTTTTGATCTCCTGTTGGGGTGGTTTTGAGGAGGTTTTGGACGGTTTGAAGCCGTGGAGGGAGGAGAAGAGGGAGGATTTTCCCTTTGTAGAAGAGATCATCTGCTGGGAGCACAGTGAGCTCTTTGTTGTGATTGAAAGAATTAGAAGTAATCTGGAACTCAAAGTCTGTGCTTTGTGGGGAAAAAGAGTTCACTTCTATATCTATGTACTCATCATCCTCAGCTGCACTAACTTGATATGGAAGGGAATGATAATTTCTGGCCATCCCATTTGAAGTCTGACCAGAAAAATGAAAATTTCTCTGCCTGGAGATGTTTGTGGGGAGAAATGGCTTCTGCATGTAGATATTCATGGGGAGAAGTGACTTCTGCATGCAGCTGATGATGATGTATATGTTTATGGGGTTGAAAGCTGAATAATTAATGTTGTTTTGAGGAGAAAAAGAGCAACCTTTTATAGATGCAAAAGTTGCATATTAATATAATGCCCGCGGGACTTAGTTCAATGGTTCAAGAGTGACCTTGAAATTAAAGTCTTGCCCCTGTGAAAAATTATTGATCAGAGGTGATGAAGATTCATTATACACAGAGTGTACAAGCAGTGGTGGAAACTGAGGACTAGACTGATTGAAGACTCTTTGTGCACGGAGTATTGTACAGGGTTGGAAATTGAGAACTGAACTGATTGAACGACTCACGAATTACCTCTTTGTGCTCTTATGTCTGATGGGATCGCAAAACGAGGTTAACCCACTGCACACCCTCACACATTGGTTATATATGTGTTTTTCTCGTCACCAAAAAAAAAAGTTTCATCTTAATTTAATGATGGTTAACTTATAATAATACACAATATATATTTCTTTTAGAGTTTGTAATTCGGAGTTCTTCGAGTATTGATTTTGTCATGTTTAGTCCTAAACTTTCAAATTAAGCCCTTCAATTTTCAAATTTTAACCAGTTGTGGTTCTTCAGATTTCAAATTTTAACCAATCGTAGGACCACCGTTAATTAAAATTTGAAACTTAAAAGATCACGCATGGATGGTTAACTTGAAAATTTAGAACTAAACATGACAGAACCAATAAGATTCCAAATGACATTAACTTTCTTTATATAGAAATGAAGAACACGTTTAGTATGTTTTTTTTTCTGCTAAATAAAGTAACATCGCCTTTATATTTAATTATTTATAGAGTAGTCCACCATTAACATGCCCCACAATGGTTCTAAATGTTAACAAAAGGCCAATGCAAGTTAGTAAAGCTTAGCTTCAAGAACGGTAAGGAATATAATATTGGTCGCTTTTCTTGGAAAAAATCTTACAATGCTGAAATTAGATTAGTACAAAAGCAAATTCAATCATGCAAAAGCGAGCATTACCCTCTCCCACCCCCCACTCTTTTCCAACAAGTTGCTCATGTTATTCTTTTCAAGATATTTTGATATGAAAGTGTACAATGTAGCACCATTGTTACTCTGATCTTAATTGATATGAGTTAAAAGTTAAGATAAATTGATGCATGCCCCACCTTACTCTTTTTCAACAAGTTTCTCATGTTATTTTTGTCAAGATATTTTGATATGAAAGTGTACATAGATCGAGCACCGATATTACTCTTAGTTCATATGAGTTCGTTAAGATAAATTGAATTTATCAATTAAGGATGTTTTTAGAAGATATTTAATGCACGTGGTGTTGATTATTATGTGTATTTTATAGATCGATTATTAAGTAAAGATTTCTAATGCCTAGTTAGTGGAACCTAGACACAGTGTGGGATTATGTTCAAAGTGAGCATATCCCTTGTGCGCACCGCATTTGGTCCTGTTTACTGAGCAATTGAGTCGCCGTGATTTATATCCTCCCAAATGTTCTGTCGGGCCAGGGTGTAGGGGCCCTTGGGGAAACGCTATGCTGTAAGGTGGGCATGGTTCCATATCTATAATTTCTATATTGTATATCCATAATTTTTATACTGTAGAGTCATAAAATTTATACTTTAGATTCATAATTTCTAAACTGTAGATTCATAATTTAAATACAGTAGATTCATATTTTTTATACAGTAAATTCATAATTTCTATAGTGCAGATTCATAATATCTGTACTGTAGATTCATAATTTCTGTACTGTAAATTCATAATTTCTAAACTATATAGTTATCAAATTATGAACATATAATTCTCTGATTTGTGAAAACAGAGTTCAACAATTAGAATTTAAAGTATAAATTGTATGATCTACAATATAGAAATTATAGATCTACAATATAGAAATTATGAATATACAGTATAGAAATTATGGATATGGAACCGTACCCACTTTGCAAGGTGAGCTTGCCCCCTTGGGGTTGGTGTGATTCAACCTTTGGGAGAAGAAGAAAAAAATTTATTTTTAGGTAACAACCATATAAACTTTGTAGAATAACTAATTTGAATTATTAAAAGAGTTGGTGTGTTCGTGATAGTTTAAGGAGAGAATTAGAGAGTTTTCTGTATATAAGGATGATTGCAGTATAATTTTCAAACAAATAATTACTCGGAGTAACGAGTTATCAATCCATAGGGAAGTAAGGCGTATCAAACACTAACTACTAATTTGTTCTTGTTAAGCTAATCCTAACGAAAGACATGGATGATTGATTAAAACTAAATTAAAAGCAAAGTAGCAGGTTTGTGAAAACAATAAAGGGAGAATAAGATTCCTGGGATTCAAGTATTTAATCACCTAGTGCACATCTTAAGAACAATATTAAATCTGGATTTAAACAAGTGTGAGAATGCAAATAGGGGAAAGAGTTACTCCCGTAATCTCTAATCTAAGTAAATATTCGCTCCCGCAATATAAACACACAGCAAAATAGGAACATGCATTCATAATAAATTTTTAACTACTACCATCTCCCGATGTGCAACAATAAAGAACTAAACTCCTTAACAATTAAATATATCATCTCCCAAGGTTCAACAGTTAAGTGCAATTATGAGTGCCCCAAAATATGTCTAACTCCCGTTATGACATAAATAAAGCTATGAAAAGTAATTCGGGCCCTGAACTACTAGCAACAACAATATAATCACAATTGCAGCACAAGTATAAAACCCAAATATTAATATATTAAGAATCTGAGAAACATGCACATAGGTTCATAAACACTTTTTTCCCAAGAATCTCTACGGGAATTTAGCCAAGCATGACTAAATTATACATAGCAATTAATATAAAGAGTTTACAAATAATCAAAGTAAGTAGAAGAATGAACCAAGTGATTCTCCCAAATCTCCCTATACTTTTCTTTTTGCTTCCAAAGACAACTTGTAGCTCTTGATTCTCTTTCTTCTTGTCTCCAAAACACAGCATAATCCTCTCCAGGGTTGATGGAAGGCAAGATTTTATAGCGAGAACCAAGCGGGGAGAAATTATGAAGTTTTCACGCAAAACGGGCCAAAACCTCAACCAGCCCACTCGCCGACTCGACGTGTAGAGAACAAGCTCGACGCATAGAGCCGGGGCGCTCAATTTTCCGAAACCTTTTGGAAAAGTTCGACCGACTCGACGTGTCGAAACAGACGTCGACTTTTCGCGGCTCCTAGGCAGGACTTCTTGACTCGACGCGTCGAGCCTTCTGATCTGCACTCGAACGCAGATGCATACTGTAAAATCTGGACGCATCGAGCCATGAGCTCGACGGGTCGAACTTCTTTTGTTGACACCGTCCGGTCCTCTTCGGCTCCAAACTCGTCCTAGAACTTTGCTTGTTTTTGCAATTGACCCACAATGGTTCCAGAACACTAACAAACACCGTAAAACATTCAAAACAAGTGTAAACCATATCTAAATGATAAAACAAGGGAATATGTAATTAAAGTATCAATTCCATGAACTTAAACCCAACAAATATTATCAAACGAACACTAGAAATATATACAATTAAGCTCACATCAAAGGATAACTGGAACTTTATTGAAATGAGATATTTAATGATATAGTACAGTAGAGACAAGTGGTGGTGTTTAAGGAGAGTGATAGCATGCAACAGCCTCGTACTTTAAAGTTATTATGCAACATGATAATGAGTTTTACATCTTATTATTATTATTGTTGTTGTTGTTGTTGTTATTATTATTATTATTATTATTATTATTATTATTATTATTATTATTATTATTATTATTATTATTCATACAATGAAACAGAAAAAATTATATATAAACCCAAGTCATAAGTCATCACAAGTCAATAAAATCCACAAAAAGTAGAGGCTTCAATCAGTCGAATCTGGGGACTAATTAAATGCATACATGCATATATGCATGTCATTATAAATTAAAATTAATAGGATAGTTTAAAAGTATATTTTTTGTGGTTACATTTAAATGAATCAAGATTAATATATACTTAATACTAGCATTCTACCAAACTATAATATAAAATTATAGTTTTATATTAAATACACTTGAGTTCTACTTGAGTTTTATATTAAATACACTTTAAATTGACTAAATTATCACATTTAAGGTTTTTCTGCTAAATAATTCACCATACTTATTTATAGAGTGCACAACAGCCCGGTGCCAAGTGAGAAAAAGTTTCCTAGTAAAGTGCAAAAGGTATGTTACTTTTCTTGGAAATATCAATATATATATATATATATATATATATATATATATATATATATATATATATATATATATATATATATAATTGCAGAAGCACAACCCCACCCCCCTCGTTTTCAAAATGTTTTTCACTTTATGTTAACATCTCAAGTAGAACCCAATGCCTAATGGCCAAACAGAAAGAGTGAACTTTTGCTAGATTTTTGTCAAGATAATTTTATATGAAGTTTTCAGAATGTTTTGAATATATTTCTGGGTGAAGGATGTCCGTAGAAGATCATGTATATATGTGTCTAATTATAAGAGTTGGTTTATATATGTACATGGGTTGGGGCGGAGGCAGAAATTTTCTTGAGTACGTAGGGGTGAAAGGTTTTTATTGAAGCACAAAGAGTCAATGTCCTCACACTGGGTCCGAACCTGAGACCACTCATTTGAGGGCCACAGCTATGCCGCTCGAGTGCTCGACCACAAGGCCTTTGACTAGGGGTGAAAGGTTAAATTAATGAGATATTAAAAAAAAAATGAAATACTCAGAGGTAGAATCACAAATATTGTTGATTAGGGGCGAAAAAATCAAAACACATCAAAACGCAGATATGTTATATATATATATATATATATTATATATATATATATATATATATATATATATATATATATATATATACACACACACACACACACACATACGGGTGTGTATCACACTCAGTTATGGTATAGAGTCTCAAGTAACTGAATATGCTATCAG